GGGACATGGCAGAGGGTGGGGATGGGGAATCTAGGATGGCAAAACAAAAGGCAAGGTATGCAGGACACAAAAATTGGGAAATCATTTGCTGAGAACATATATGTTGATGTGCTTGATTGAGCCAATGCACAGTGTATTTTGGATGGAAAATTCATATGTGTGTTGTGATGAGAAAAAAAAAAAAATTATAAAAAAAAAAAAAAAAAAAAAAAAAAAAAAAAAAAAAAAAAAAACACTATGCATGGTTTCAAAACAATTTTGCAGCCAAATAAACCTGGATTTAATTCTATTTTTCCACAAACTTTTTGAAATCCCCTCCTATTTATCAATGTCCCATAAGAAATATCCTTTGGAGTTCTGCCAAAATAGGAATTGGAACATAGAATTGAGTTTTTAGAGCACCATTGCTGTCACTCGCCCAGACATCACTGAACAAGTGTTTTGTGACATAAAAGCCATTTGGGCTTAAATAGAACTTCTACCTTTTCCAGTCTGATGCTTTTCCACTTGTCCTTCCAGAAACTCTTCAGCCTTCCCCCTGATTTTCTTTCATATGTCCAAGAAAGGCAGAGAACAACAGACAGAACTGATGAGGGACAGACAGGCCTTTTGAAGCCCGGAGGCCAGTCTGAAGCTGAACATCCCTCTTCCCGTTAGTGCCAGACAGGAACCTCGGTGGAGAGGCCACTTTCCCCGAGCATCCATCTGCTACAGTCCAGGCTTGGGACAGGGTAGCAGAGTACCCCAGGGATGTCCATGAAAACAGTCAGAGCAAAACCAGCTGCCATTCGATATGAATCCTTTTTTCTTTTTTAAAAAACAAAATTTAAAGCACCCATCTAGATTTCTCTTCTTGACTTGTGAACTTTTGGGGCAACTCTTCAGAAGTTGTAAAATGATCTTGTTTTAGGTAGAGTAAGCAGGGCTCTGTCTCCCTGGGAGCCCCAGCCAGACTCTGGTGTGAACCAGCCCAGAGCGACAGCAACCACAGCTGACCCCTGATCAAGACAATGACGGGGCTGGGTGGGTGGATCTCTGGGGTCTGCTCCTCATCCAAATCTATATGAATCTAGGAACTTGTGGTTTCTCAGATAACCTTAAATATTAAAATAATATATTTGATTTTTTTTTAATGAGTGACAGCCAGCAGGTGGTGTGGTGGTTAAGGCACTGGGTTCCCACATGGCTGACCATGGCTCATGCCAGGCATGTGTGCTGCATATCCAAAATCCCAAGAGGAGTATGGAGGAGAAGGGATTGTGGCATGGCCCTCCCTCCCTCCCGAGAGGTGATTTCTCACTTTCCCTTTCACTGACTCTCTGACAAGACATGCACTCTCTGACAAAAAACCTTTTTTAAATAAAGAAGTTTATGTGTAGCTTAAAAAGTTAATCAGTGGTCAGGCCAGCAGATGACGTGGAGGGTAAGATGGCTGAAGCTGAACATCCCTCTTCCCGTTAGTGCCAGACAGGAACCTCGGTGGAGAGGCCACTTTCCCCGAGCATCCATCTGCTACAGTCCAGGCTTGGGACAGGGTAGCAGAGTACCCCAGGGATGTCCATGAAAACAGTCAGAGCAAAACCAGCTGCCATTCGATATGAATCCTTTTTTCTTTTTTAAAAAACAAAATTTAAAGCACCCATCTAGATTTCTCTTCTTGACTTGTGAACTTTTGGGGCAACTCTTCAGAAGTTGTAAAATGATCTTGTTTTAGGTAGAGTAAGCAGGGCTCTGTCTCCCTGGGAGCCCCAGCCAGACTCTGGTGTGAACCAGCCCAGAGCGACAGCAACCACAGCTGACCCCTGATCAAGACAATGACGGGGCTGGGTGGGTGGATCTCTGGGGTCTGCTCCTCATCCAAATCTATATGAATCTAGGAACTTGTGGTTTCTCAGATAACCTTAAATATTAAAATAATATATTTGATTTTTTTTTTAATGAGTGACAGCCAGCAGGTGGTGTGGTGGTTAAGGCACTGGGTTCCCACATGGCTGACCATGGCTCATGCCAGGCATGTGTGCTGCATATCCAAAATCCCAAGAGGAGTATGGAGGAGAAGGGATTGTGGCATGGCCCTCCCTCCCTCCCGAGAGGTGATTTCTCACTTTCCGTCTCTCTGTCTCTCTCCAGCACGCACATGTGTCCTATGGTAGAACAAAACAGTGTTCTCTAATTTTTAAAAAGTGATCCATGCTGACGTTAGAGGACACAGCTCGACAAGATGCTTTGGAGAGAGAGGGAGGGTAGGATATCTCTGCAGGGTTACTTTGAAACATTAATATTTATTATATTGTTTAATATAGACCATAAAGATTCATATTTATTGTAAAATGATAAAGTGAAGTACATCTTCCTGAACAGGATTACAGGCTACTCTAACCCAAGCTGAAGAACAAGGGAAAATGCTCCCCAGGAAAGTCAAAAGCATGATGGGAAAGCAGAAGATACGACCTGGATTTGAATTCCAGCTTTTCCACTCATTAGATGTACATGGAAACTTCAAAAAATTGTGGGGGGGAGCCAGCAGTTAGTGTAATGGCTATGTTGCTGGACTCCCACGTAGTCGACCGCGGTTCGCGTCCCGGACCCGGTGGCTTAAAACTCATGCTGGGCGTGTGTGCATGCATGCCCAAGATCCCAAGAGAAGAATGGAGGAGAAGGGATTGCGGCGTGACCATCCCCCCTGGGGGGTGATTTCTCGCTTTCTGTCTCTATGTTTCTCTCTGTCTGTCTGGTGAGCGCATGCGCCCTATAGCGAAAACCTCTCAAAAAAAAAAAGTGGAAAAATAGAATTAAAGTATAAATTTTATTCTGATCCAAAACGTTTGAAATCCATGCAGAGGTTTTTATTTTTTTTCATAACACACATTTTCTATAAACTTTATTTTTAATTTTTATTTGCTATAGGGCACATGCGCTCTCAGACAGGGAGAGACAGAAAGCGAGAAATTAACCCTCCATGGGAGATGGCCATGCCGCAATCCCCTCTCCTCCATTCTCCCTTTGGGATTTGGGGTACGCACACACACGCACCCAGGGTGAGTTTTAAGCCACCAGTTCCCAGATTTGAACTGCAGCCAACTACGTGAGAGTCCAGCGACGTAACCATTACACCATCTGTTGGTCCCTCCATAAACGTTTTGAAATCCTCTCAAATGTCATGTGGCAAGTTACTTTCCTGAGTCTGTTTTCTTTTCTGAAAAATAGGAACAGTAGTATCCAGTACACAGAACTGCTAAAGAATTGTGTGAATAATGCATGTGGGGTATTTGGCACAATGTATGGTACAGAGTAAGAATTCAGTAAACAGTAGTTTAAAATAATAAAACAGAGCTGATCCTCTGGCCCACTGGTTAAGGAAGCCAGATACCACATGGCTGAACGTGCTTTAAATCCCAGCCACAGCAGCTTGAAAAACACGCCAGGAGTCTGTGTGTGCCCCAAATCCCAACAGAACGAAGAAATGGAGAAGAGATCGTGGCATGACCATGTCCCACTGGGGAATGCTTTCTACCTCTCTTGGCAATGTAAAATAAAAATGAAAATAACGGCTTGCAGATGGTGTGGAGGTTAAGGTGGCTGGATCCCACATGACCAACTGCGTGGTTGGAGTCTCAGACCAGGTGACTGGAAAAACATGCCAGGCGTGTGCGTGCATGCCTAAAATCCTGAGAGGAGAAGAGGGAGGAGGGGGTTGCAGAGTGGCCATCCCTCCCGGCCTCCCATCGCAGGAGAATTTCTCACTTCCTCTCTCTCTCTCTCCCCCAAGTGCACATGCCCCATAGCAAAAAAATCAAACTAATTAAAATTAAATACAGAAAGGAATTGTATATATGAGAACATTTCTAAAAGAGCCTTAAAACTATTTTTGAATCTACCCGTAAAATGAATATATTGTTTACAGGGGAGAAATATCACTAAAGATAATTTAAAGAAAAAGCATTGTCTAGTATTTGAGGAGAAAGACTATCTTTAAAGGCCTAAAGAGAAAAAATAAAATAAATTCTAGTTTTGCAGGACTTTTGGTGACCTGGGCTATGACCCCAAAATCATCCTTATTCTTCGTTTGTACTTTGAGATGCTCATTGCTGAGTTCCAATCCCTTCTTATTAAGAGAAGACCCTTTGTGAGCCAGCTGATAGTGGCTGGCTCCCACATGGCCAACTGCTCAGTTCAAGTCCCAAATATGGCTTCTTGAAAATCACGCCAGGCACATGTTCATGCATGCCTAAAATACCAAGAGGAAAATGAGAAGGGATTTTGGTGCAGTCATCCCTCTAGGGAGTGCTTTCTCACTTTCTCTTTCTTTCTTCTCTCTCTCAAGTGTACAGACCCTATAGTAAATTAAAAATATAAAATAAAGAGAAAAGACACTTTTCTCACCAGATTCCCGTTTCTAAAATATTCTGTTTACATGGACAAATTTTGATTTTTGTTATGACTCTTGTTTTTCTTAAGAAAGAGAGAGAGAGAGAGACTACCAACACAAAACTCAGGGTCTAAAGAACGCTCTCATTACACACTGGAGAACAGCCTCTGTTATTTTTCTTAGTCTTTTTATGTATACATGCAAAATATCAGGAGGATTTTTTTCCTGGAAAATGACCATTTGTATCCTTAGCATTCTAATGGGCCCCTTACAGGTAGCTGGAGGGCACTGGAACATCTTCCCACATCAATACCCAGCTCAATCTTGGAATCCAAAGGTGTATCCAAAGAGATTCTGGTCAGAACCCAACAGAACCTTTCTGTAGAATCCAATTTGATTTACTGAAGTCAGGTGAGCGAGCACACAACGAGCCATGACCATTGATGGCCATTATGTGCTCAGCACTAGCTCACAAGTCACTGAGCATGAACTTTTTGAACAGAGGGAGCTAGGACACCAGACAGACCCCACCTGTGAAGGCACCTCCACCCAGGCCCTGAGAGAAGATGAACAAAAAGGTGCTCACCATGCTGACAGCTATTCCCTGTGTGGTTTACTTCATCATGAAGTCTGAACTTGGGGCTGAAGTGCTCACCTAAGCTTACCAACTCACCTATTTAAGAGAAAAAGATGACTGGGACGGCTGGGACTCTGATGGAACTGAGTAAGAATGCCTATAAGTGGGAAAACCGAAACTCCATAGTGGTTGGAGGCCTACGTTGGCCAGTGAATCATTGTTTCTGGCTGGTAGGTCGTATTTCTTCTATTCAGTAAGCCCGTTTAGTGATAATACAATCGAACATATTGGAGGACTATTTTCGGTCTGTGACAGACTCTTGGCCTTGTCCCCAGTATCCTCAGTTCTGTGTTTAGACCTCTGCTAGCCAGGAAAATGGAAGATGTATGTGCCCTCAATCTAGAGGAGAAAGCAGGCATTGCTTCTACTCACCCTTCCCTCCCTTCCTTCACTAAGTATCAGTTATCACAGCCACACAAAACCCAAGTACTATACTCCCATAGTTCTTTTTTAGACAATTTTTTTAAAGGTTTTTGCCATAGGGTGTGTGTGCTTGGTGGAGAGAGACAGTGAGAAAAAAAGTGAGAAATCACTCAGGGGGGATGGCTACACCACCATGCATGCACATGAGCCCAGTGTGATTTTCAAGCCACTGGATCCAGGACTTGAACCACACAGTCAGCCATGTGGGAATCCAGCGCCTTAACCACCATGCCACTGGCTGGTCTGATCATCTTTTTTTTAAGTTGATTTCTACCATGAAATAGAGACAGGCGTCCCTAACAAGGTCTTCATGCTGTGATTTAAACCAGTCCCAGTTTCAGTAAATCTAGATCACGGACGCATGTGCGTGTGCTTGTTGCATTCAGCGAGGTCTCAGGACACAAACCAAGGACCCTTCCCATGTGGGTCTAGTTGTGTTATCACTGCACCATCACTTAGACCCCTTAACTCCACACTTCTAAGATGAACTCTGCTGACTATAATGGCAGTAAGAGTTGACTATTGAGATGATTCAACAATCCAGATTCTTCTCACTCCTTTATGTGTTCGTCGTTTAGAATGTAGATAGATTACAGTCTAGACTTAAAGTACATGACCCATTGGTATTTTTACAGCACAGGACAAAGTGCTGCACTAAATCTTTAACCAACTCAATGCTACACCCAACACAAAGAGGGAAAGTAATGGCAGCGACGAAGCAAACTCACCGATATCTTCAGGTCCCTGGATAGCACGAGGTGAACAAGTCGAAGGGCTCGCAACACAGAAGAGCAATCCTTTAACTTTAAGTCATCTCTTTTTCAATAGTTGGAAGCTGACAGCAATTGAATAATAGAACAAAAATGGAGCTTCAAAATCATGGCCTTACTGCTTCTTCTGGGTCCTTTTAACTGCAAGAAATCAGCTTTGAAGACCAACTAGGGCACTTCAGATGTGATCCAACCTTTTGTCCATTCTTTCCCCCTCTTTGGTCTTTTAATAGCACTTAAAAACATTTGGTTTGACTCCGTTTCAATTTTCACATGCTCCCTCTGTTCCTAGCTCAGAATTTCTATTTACCCATGAAAGAAAATAGGAGACGACTCTGAATAGTATGTCTGAGGCCACCCCCAGAGGTCAGGTATTCATGGGTTTTATATCTCGAGTATGGTGTTTCTAGACTAAAATATCTTCAAAGGTAATGCGATAAGGCCCCCTCTCAACGGCTGCATCTGATTACATCCTGGTAATCCTATCGGCTAACTTTATCTCTGCAATGGGGGCACCTCTAAGTGCCGTGTCTGACGGTGCCCATACAGCAGGCGGTGCGGCAGTCTGCTTCCTACTGCTCTTGTGGAGTGGCAGAAGGGAGACTGACAGAGCAGCTGGTCAACCCAATCCTCCCTGAAGAGCCAGATGCGTTGATTATTTACAGTCAGTCTTAGCGATGGAGCCCTTCTGTGAGTATCCATGAATTTGATGACCATCTATTACAAATAAGTTATTTTAAAAGTCATTATATATATACACACACACACACACACACACACATATATATATCTTGGGACCAGCAGTTGGCATAATGGCTATGTTGTTGGACTCCCATGTACATGTAGTCATGGTTCGAGTCCCGGACCCAGTGGCTTAAATTCACTCTGGGTGTGTGTGCATGCGTGCCCAAGATCCCGAGAGGAGAATGGAGGAGAATGGATTGCAGTGTAGCCATCCCCCCTGGGGGTTGATTTCTTGCTTTCTGTTTCTCTGTCTTTCTGGTGAGCGCAGGTACCCTATAGTCAAAATCTCTCAAAAAAAAAAAATATATATATATATCTTTGGGGACCAGCAGATGGTGTAATGATTACGTTGCTGGATTCCCACATAGTCGACTGTGGCTCGTGTCTTGATTCCAGTGGCTTAAAACTCATGCAGGGCATATGTGTATGCACCCAAAATTCCAAGAGGAGAATGGAGGAGAAGGGATTGCAGCATGGCTATCCCCTCCGGCGAGTGATTTTTCCACTTTCTGTCTCTCTGTCTCTCTGGTGAACGCACACATCCTATAGCAAAAATCTCTCTAAGTATGTATATATATATAATAAAGTATGTGTGTGAGTATATATATACACATGTATATATAATCTTTGAAGCTGCAAGCATGCAATATTTCAGAGGCTTTCTCTCAGTGTTTCCACAGCAGCCTTCCCTTGTTTTTCTTGCTTTTGGGGAGCTCAGTGCTGTCTTCTTATCAAATTTTCCCGTTGACCTTTGCGTATTATCACCCTGGATGGTCTCATTTGTATTGTAAACCTTGGGCCTCTGCTGTGCTTCAGAGACATTGAGAAAACTCTTGCTGATTGATTTTCTGGAGATAATTCTAATGATGAGTTTTTATATCACGCTGATATAAAGAAGTATAATTAAAGAAACAAACAAATACCATGAGGGCCAGCCCCAAAGCCTGGTGGTTAAGGAAGCTGTATTGCATACGGCCAACTGAAGTACAAATCCCCAGCTTTGAAGACCAACTAGGGCACTTCAGATGTGATCCAACCTTTTGTCCATTCTTTCCCCCTCTTTGGTCTTTTAATAGCACTTAAAAACATTTGGTTTGACTCCGTTTCAATTTTCACATGCTCCCTCTGTTCCTAGCTCAGAATTTCTATTTACCCATGAAAGAAAATAGGAGACGACTCTGAATAGTATGTCTGAGGCCACCCCCAGAGGTCAGGTATTCATGGGTTTTATATCTCGAGTATGGTGTTTCTAGACTAAAATATCTTCAAAGGTAATGCGATAAGGCCCCCTCTCAACGGCTGCATCTGATTACATCCTGGTAATCCTATCGGCTAACTTTATCTCTGCAATGGGGGCACCTCTAAGTGCCGTGTCTGACGGTGCCCATACAGCAGGCGGTGCGGCAGTCTGCTTCCTACTGCTCTTGTGGAGTGGCAGAAGGGAGACTGACAGAGCAGCTGGTCAACCCAATCCTCCCTGAAGAGCCAGATGCGTTGATTATTTACAGTCAGTCTTAGCGATGGAGCCCCTCTGTGAGTATCCATGAATTTGATGACCATCTATTACAAATAAGTTATTTTAAAAGTCATTATATATATACACACACACACACACACACACACATATATATATCTTGGGACCAGCAGTTGGCATAATGGCTATGTTGTTGGACTCCCATGTACATGTAGTCATGGTTCGAGTCCCGGACCCAGTGGCTTAAATTCACTCTGGGTGTGTGTGCATGCGTGCCCAAGATCCCGAGAGGAGAATGGAGGAGAATGGATTGCAGTGTAGCCATCCCCCCTGGGGGTTGATTTCTTGCTTTCTGTTTCTCTGTCTTTCTGGTGAGCGCAGGTACCCTATAGTCAAAATCTCTCAAAAAAAAAAAATATATATATATATCTTTGGGGACCAGCAGATGGTGTAATGATTACGTTGCTGGATTCCCACATAGTCGACTGTGGCTCGTGTCTTGATTCCAGTGGCTTAAAACTCATGCAGGGCATATGTGTATGCACCCAAAATTCCAAGAGGAGAATGGAGGAGAAGGGATTGCAGCATGGCTATCCCCTCCGGCGAGTGATTTTTCCACTTTCTGTCTCTCTGTCTCTCTGGTGAACGCACACATCCTATAGCAAAAATCTCTCTAAGTATGTATATATATATAATAAAGTATGTGTGTGAGTATATATATACACATGTATATATAATCTTTGAAGCTGCAAGCATGCAATATTTCAGAGGCTTTCTCTCAGTGTTTCCACAGCAGCCTTCCCTTGTTTTTCTTGCTTTTGGGGAGCTCAGTGCTGTCTTCTTATCAAATTTTCCCGTTGACCTTTGCGTATTATCACCCTGGATGGTCTCATTTGTATTGTAAACCTTGGGCCTCTGCTGTGCTTCAGAGACATTGAGAAAACTCTTGCTGATTGATTTTCTGGAGATAATTCTAATGATGAGTTTTTATATCACGCTGATATAAAGAAGTATAATTAAAGAAACAAACAAATACCATGAGGGCCAGCCCCAAAGCCTGGTGGTTAAGGAAGCTGTATTGCATACGGCCAACTGAAGTACAAATCCCCACCCCTGAGACTTAAAAAAAAAACAGGCCAGGCATGTGGGCACGCGTGCCCCAAATCCTGCCGAGGTGGAGAAAGAAAGGATTGTGATGTGACCACGCCCCACTGGGGGGTGCTTTCTCTCTTTCTCTAGTAAGTAAGAGCATGTGCCCTCTGACAATTTAAAAAGCAATTTTTTCAAAACAAAAAATATCTCCACTCTGAAACTTCTCTGCCTTTTCCTA